ACCGAGACATCGATGCGTTGCGGACAACTTCTGTGCCAATAGCATAGTCGATATAAATACTATTCATATATATGTATTATTTGTATCCCCCGCGACTTATGTCGGCCGGTCTATGGTTTAATGTTGTACAGCGCTCGGGTCCGCCGCAGAGATTCTTTCCTTCGCTCTATTAACTCGACCCATGATTGACCTAGCGTTGACGAAAACTTTAGACGTCTACTTACACAACTTGGGCGAGAAGGGTGGGCAGCGCTACAAAACAAGGTCACTGGGCCTTTACGTTGACCTTTACTTTGACTTGATCATATTTCCTTCCGCCTATGTAACTCGGTCCTAATTACTCCAGCGGTGACCCAAACACTTGGTTGCTTTAACCATTACAAACTGGGGGGGAGAAGGTGGCAGGTTACCAAAACTAGTCACTCTCGAAACTTACCTTACTTGGACTTTTAATATTTTCTTCCGCTCTAGTAACCAGGCCATAATTGACTAGCGCTACAATTTGGGCTATTACTTCATTTGGGGAGAAGGTGAAGAGTTACCAACCCGCGGTCACTGCGGATCTTTACCACTTGACTTGATCATAATGTCACTTTGCCGTCTTATAACTTCGCAGAATTGACCTAGCGTACAAAACAGGTCACTAAGACTTTTATTGACCTTTACCTTGACCTTGATTATATTTCCTTTCGACTCTATAACTCAGGCCCTAAATTGACGTGGCGTACAAACTTGGTTATACTTACAATTCTTGGGGAGACGATGGGGGAAGATACATGTAGCTTTGGCGACAACTGCACTTTTAGTTTTATAACTTACATAGTCATATCGAATATAACATGCTATAGGAGCTTTTCATTGGCTAATCAGTGTTTCTTACTTAGTAACATTCTAGCAGAAATAAATACATCAACAGGCAATAATAAACAACCAATTCGGTCCTTCTAATGTTTGCACGGCCACTTAACGTGTAATTTGTTGTTTACATGAGAAAAACCATTAAATTATTACTATTTGTAGATAACAGACATTTCAAAAAACATTTGAAGTTTTCACAGAATATGTAGGCTACTGCTGTATAGTTTCACATGGGCTATCGATTCAATTTTAATTAAATTTTATTGAAATTGTATGTTCCATTGATAATATTGCTTTTAATACAGAAGAGAATCACACTGAGAGGCATTTTTAAAGCCAAAGGATTGCTCACAAGGTGAGATTTCAATGCCAACAATGAAGCCAATTTCGGTAGGATATAAAGACTATAGACAGTTTATTGTATCGCTTTCCATATTAGTAGTACAAGAATTTTAACAAATGCATAATATATAAACATACAGGAAGGAAAAAATACGACGAAGACTTACGGGTATCTTAGTCAGACATCCAAAGGTAGTGCGTTAGGTAAGATTATTATTTTGTGCATGTATGCTTTTTACGTATCAGTTAATTTCTTTACTAGTCGCAATGAAGTGATACTAGTAAACAATGACTATTACTTAGTTTTATTTGTGCATGAGAAATTAACGTTAGTAGATGCTTCTATGTCTTTGCTTAAGTTTTGCGGGACGTTGCGCTTTTGCAGCGATCGGATTCGTTGGACACTGTGTTTATGGTGTGGATTCAAGCACAGGATGAGAGCATTACAGATTCGTTGGTCACAACGGATAATGTTTGATTGATGAAATGTTGGGTTTCAATTAAGAGACATAGTTAAAGAAAATTGTATTTTATAAAGTTTACAAAAAGAGTCTGTTAGTGAGCTATTGTGATATAGTCATTGTTATTGCTATATCAGGACTCTCACATATTTTAATCATTACAGGAAACTGGCCGGCTAGTCGATTTGTGAAAAATGCCATGTTTAAAGAGAAAGTGTGTCATTAGCTGTCTTACATCGTTGAAATTACATGCACAATATTATAAATAATGTGTTTCGTGTGATGGCGTCTGTGGGTGATGCCTGTGTGAGAGGCGTTGGTGTGGCACGGAATGGAGGAGTAGATGATGTATGTAACATCAGGTTGCTGCCAGCTTTTAGTGTCAGGTCGCATCAGTGCGACTTCACAGGAAGCGCGTAGGCGCGAAGCCAATCTAGGGGCGCGGGGGCATGCCCCCTGAATATTCTTGATTTTTTTGTATTCTAACTCATTTCCTGCATTCTAGTCAGCAATAAAAGCCCTTATATCAGACTTGTTTTTAATAAATTAAGTGCGGGCGGCACCTGCTCGAGTGCGGGCACACCCGACACCGCCCACAGTTGGGCAGAACGAGGTACGATCGTGATGCCTGTGTTTGTAATATTGCATGGATCACTGCATACTGTGCGTGAATGCTTACATACCTCGTTAGTAATGTGACGTGAGTCGGCAATTGGGCTTTGCTTTCATTATACAGTGTATATCGGAATGCGTGCTGTTCTCTGCGGACGCATCCGATGTTGCACAGTACTTCGTACGGCATAGCTCCTTGTTCTGCTCCGAGACACCGTGACGATCGGGCGGGCCTACTCCGGCGGTGCTGGATTACCAGTGTGTGAGTAGTCGTGCTCAGGCATGGTACACATCAGACAAAATCGTGATTGTGGAATTTCACCATATACTGTCTGTATTCCGTGGAGTGTGCGAACAGTTTAGGGTGATAGGGTCATGTCTACCTGGGTACTGCCGGAAGTTCCCTGTAACTATCTGATATTGTTAGGTTGGAGTAGGTTGTTAGGCGAGTCCTAGACTCGTTCAGTGGCCAGTAGGCGAAGGTACGGTCCGGGTTACTTAGATAGTACAGGGTAGTTCGCGTTATACCGCGACGTACAGGGTACGATTCCGGCGTACCCAGCGGACATAGACCCTTAGGCAGCGACAGTTAGTTTGTAGTGTTTGTACGAATGCTAATGATGTACCATATCGGTAGGCAATATGGCCAAGTTGTTAGTGTCGCATATTATTATATCGATCGTCATTATAATATAAAGATATAATATTTATATAATCATATATATATAATTTTGTGGTTTTTGTATTATTGTAATTATGTAATTCTACTTGGGGTGGAGGATGAGGGGGTACTTAGAATGCTGTAGCAGGAGTAATTTTAAAGCAAGATCTTGGGATTTACAGCATTATGTGACTATGACGCCAGTTTTAGCATTGCTAATCGCGTCCCGTGTTTTATTGTAAGGAACGGGTCCGGAATCGACGTCCTTTAAGGTCACACTTGCAACCGTGAGGAGTGTGACTTTAGCAGCGATGACAAAACATGCAACAGCCATCCGACGAAAATGTATAAAGCGTCAGTCTCTAACACTCAATATGAAGTTCTTGGGACATAAGGTGTATGTGGATACGTAGAACAAAGGCATTTAAGAAGTTCTTACATGTAGAAATACCTCCGTACTACTGTACTGTGTACCTATGTCATTTTCGATCTAATCGTCTATTTTCACAATGAGCTTAGTGTATATAATTCAGGCTGACTGCCATGTAGATATGTAGCCTGAGTTGCTTGATCCATCCACCTATATGTTGCTTTGCGGCACACACACACAACATGCAACACCAGACATAATGCGCACACCCATGCACGTGCGCACACGCACGCACACACGAGCAACAGCACACAACACCAACACACAAAACACACACATGCAAACACCAGACAATAATATGCGCAACACACATGGACGTGCGCAACGCACGCCACACGAGCAACACATCACCACACGCACAAACACACACACACACACAACAACAACAACACAACACACCCACGCACATGCAAAACACCAGACATAAATGCGCCAACACCGATGCACGGTGCGCAAACACACGCATCAACGAGCATATGTGCACACACACACCAACACACACACACACCAACAACAACAAATACGCATGAAACACAGACATAATATGCGCACACACACGTGGAGCACACACACACACACCACTCAGTTCGGTTCTATTCATGGCTGCTATAGTTTGTTAGCGTGCGTTTCACGCACTACCTCCTGCCAACTATATAGTGAACAGAACCACTTCAGGTGTAGGATCGATTCATCGGACAGAGTTTCTTTATTCTTCTCACGGTCACACAGAAATCGGTCCGATCCGCAAGTAGGTGTCAAAAATTATGACAGGTTTTAGAGTGTTACTGCACTAAATTGTGGCAAGAAAGAACCTGTTTCGGATTCTCTCAGAGTATAAATTTTAATATCTTTTACACCGGCACACCTAGTGGGTAAAGCTGTTGAATGTTCTGGTCTTTAAGCGGGGAGGTGCCTGCACGTGAAATTCGTAAAAGAAATCGTTTCTGGGGCGACTTGCGTGTAAAGGATGGCAAGAGAGACTTCTCTACCAAATGTTCTCCCTCAGAATATCTTCTGAGCACATGCTGGTAGTAATATCGGCTGAGGTGCTTTTGTGATTGATAACAAAATTTCATGAGTATATTGATGTATATAATGTAGTATTATTATATTAATGCCTGTTGTGGGGAGCACTATGCTCATAGTTGTTGCTGAGGGAAGTATAGTGCCACGGCGCAAAACGACGCGGCACTATTCCTTCCCAAGCAACACCATATGACAGCATGTGCCCCCAAAACAGCATTAATGTTATTTAGTGCAATCACATGACTAGTGCAATCTACTTTTTCATGCATTATATACCTTCTTTATCTCCCTAATTTGCCGGTGCGTCGATGTAACAATACGCTCTGACACAATCGCCGTATATTCAGAACACTTTGCGTGGTCCGACACAGGAAGATTCGTGACTGAATAAACACAATGCGTTATAATACAATAGCGTCTTAATTAACAATGCTCAGGCAAGCAATGATTTGACCGCTCATGCGGCTATTGCTTCATAGTGCCTGCACGTTATTCAATGAATTCAACGATTTATCACGATGATTGCACTAATATCTTATTTAATTATATTATTATTGATTATTAATTTTTATTGTCACACAGTTCTCGCGGCAGACGTATATCGAAGAATATGTCAGGCAGCCGCACAAGCGGTTTGAATATGGACAGACGAGCAAGCTGTGTGTGCATCGAGTTCAGCGACCTGGCGCGGGGAAGTATCCGCGCTCTCCTCAGGGTCAACATGTTCATCTATGTTCCCCTGCATCTATAAGCACACTCGGCGCGGCTTTTCTCGGAATTCCGCGAATCTCGTTCGTTAATTACTGACGTTGTGGCATACACGCACAAGGCTAATTAACCGGATCTTTGCATGCAACCTGTTCTTAATTAGCATACCTATAGCTCATTACACCGATGTACACCCTAAAATCAAATATTATAATCTTGACTTGCCGTTGGAGTTAATTATGGTCATGGTGTGGCATGTACAGCGGCTTTTTGAGAGGTCCCTGGTCGCTGCCTTAACTTTAATGGAAATGCAGTGTAAATTATTATTGTATTGTTATTATGGAATGTTTACTACAGTTTTTCCTGCCTACTCGACAGACTGAGGTTGTTGTTTTTTCGCGGATATTTTTTCGATTAATATGATCATGTTAATCACCGTCTATTAGCGCGTTATTTGGCAGAGCATTGTTTACAGTTGCAGCATCGTAACAAGGTGGCATTTCCATCCGAGCGGGGACGTGGTCTGCCGCGGCGACGATCAGACTGCTGACTCAGCACGGCCGATGTGGACCGTGCAGACAAACTTTTGCAGAAGTACCAAGGTTCGAACACGGGCGCTTACATTTTGCGGTCTCGTCGTGACCCACCCCAGTACTTGTATACGCCTATTTTCGGTAAGATTTTTGCGAATTCAACTCGAACGGCAATTATCAAGCGACGTAGGTTAATTTCCGCAGGTCGAATGATATCTGAATTATTTCGGTATGAATTATTCGCGTGTTTATTTTCCCGGTCGGGGACGCGTTCGCGGAAATCGCAAAATTTAAACCACTGCGAAATATACAGCGATATTACAGTACTTATTTGTATGTTGTACATTGAACTATGTGTTATTGTGTATTTTACCATACAGTTGCTTACATTTTATTGTACCTACTTGTAGCGCACACACGGTGCGTCACAACGAGTCTTCTTCATCCGGTCCGGTAATTGTACATGATTACTTCGTCCACGACTCGAGCGCTCAAGGTGCTTGACCTTTTTGCAAGGTCGTCTGTTCTAACACTACACGTCACCAGTCGCGTGTCATCGTTACTGCTATCACAGTTTCGAAATGTGTTGCTGTAGAGTAACATAGATTGATGCGGTAAGCTGAATGGAATCCTGTAAATAATATACAAATAGGTTAAGGCCAAAACAAAATATAGTGTGTTACGTTCATGCCGAAACAAATAAGGTAGGTGGGAAAAAATTTATTTTATTGAAAACATTTTATTTTCACGAACCATGTCTGAAGATGTGCGTTGTGCCTTTTAAGCAGTAACCTGTCCAATTAAATATTTTATTTATTTTTTTTTCTTTAAATTTTTTAAATTGTTTTTTTTACTTTAAAGAAAATTATATAAAATGTTTAAGGGTCGCTGGATAATAGGGTCGGTTCGGGAACTAACAACCTATATTTTGTTTTGCCTAAGCTAAATGGTGCTGATAGATTAATATAGCCTATAAGAAACAATTGTTCCTGTAGACTTTTTTCGGCACTATTAGCGCAAGTTAGATGTGCCTAATAGACATTATTTAAATTTTTCCGTTAGTTCACATTACAACCATCTGGATTGGAAAGCTTGTGGATAGTATAGATTTGCACGATTTTCGAATTTTCGCTAGATCACATAGGAAGGAGAATCGATTACCTTAGGGATGACGATATGTAGGCATGCTTTATTCTCAGGTGATGAAAAAATCGGGAGTTTCACATCTGAGCGAACGAGGATGCTGCAGGCCGAAGCGCCATAGGGGGAGGCCCTTACTTTAAAATGGAGAAATTTAGTGTGAAATGCAAAAGACGGAATTCGAAATGATCTAATTTTATTATAAACGCCTGTTATCAGTTTTTATATACAGGTGTATAATAGTATATATAATATGGCGCCTTAATCCGTCTCTATCAATTTCATCCGTTTCATCCAGAATAGCCTTCCCATTCGGGGTTCACTGGCTAAACATGTCGGTGAGATCCGCGAGTATTAATCTGAGTGCGTGTCATGATTGCAGGGTCCCGTAACGTGATCGGCTATTCCACGACAAGGAACTACTATTGCGTCGCTGCGGCCTCAAACGATTCAGTGTGTTTGAAGGAATTTTTCTAGAATGACCGAGTGTAAGGCATAACCTGCATAATTCTCAATACTGTGCTACAAATTACATGACGTGAGAGTGTGGCCCTATAAAAAATATTGTTTGTTTGCCTTCACCCGACGCCGAAACGCCAAATAGGGCGCGACTTCAAAAAATGTTATTAGATCTTTCCATTCTGTTTTTTTTTTACATATGTATCAATGTAAATTATACTAAATCTGTTAGGAATACATTATATGTACAAGCAAAAACAAACATTCAACGTAAAAAGGCATCTACAAAAGATGCCGACGCAGTAAACACCATGCTGAAAACACCTCTTCAAAAAAGCATAAAGAAAAAAGCCTACTACCTCCCAAACTGTTCAGCGTGCGTGGTGAGGGCAAATAAGATTTTTTTAATCGTCGCGCCTGAGGAAACACCGCACTGGGTTAGTGCGCCAGTATAGTCACTCTCCCGAGTGCCTCCCAGGTTACTAATGTTGTTGTTTAGCGTGCCCCTGTGAATTTTTTCCGTTCTTCTTAATCTATCCTTTTTTGACATTTTTGTGTTTTAAATTTTCGCGGAAGTCGTGTCCGCGCGGGCGGAAGTCTCGCCCGTGTCGCGTCGACTTTTTCGTCGTACTTTTAGCGGACTCCGCTGTCGTCGATTTAGTCGACGTGCGTCCACGCGTGTGCGGCTATGCACACGTACCCAGGAGACTCCACATTTAGCTTTACTAAATCGATTGCCGGAATCGTTCTATACCAGATCTGTATAAATAAGCGAGATTGTTGACTCGCACGATCATTACGATTATTAATCAGTGACTCTGCTCACTTACCTCGGCTTGCTAAATAAATCTGTTCAGATTTCTTAACCGGCTATCGAGCAGTGTTCTTTAAAGTAGTAGTGGCTGTTGAATATCTGTTTCGATTTAAGACAGATTTTAATTGGTTGACCTGAAATTTAGCGATCGAGCTTCAATATTTACATGGATGTGGGGGAAAGACGCGGAGTGTGTTTAAATCGGTCTGGTTCAGGTGATGGTGTTTGGAGACCAAACTTTCGAACTCGGTGGATTACTCGAGGTTATTGAGCTCTCACCGTCGGCAAATCGACCGCTCACACGTACCGTCCCGCGTCGTACCCTGCGATCAAGCTCGGTTCGCCGCGCCCGCCACCGTCCCATTTTGGGCAACACCGACGCAGTACGCAGGTACGTGCATGTGCCCAAGGGCGCCCCTACAACCACAGCCAGTATAAGTTAATGTTAAGTCCAGGTTTGTTTCTGACAATGGTCTACGATGAAAAGATCAAATGTTATAGACAATTTTGTTTATGATAACGACGTTTACTGAGAAAGATAAGTTAAGTATAATGTTGATAATTAAGACTTTAATTAAGACAAAATTAGAAAAGAACTACATTTAATAGGACTTACATGTTTCGTTAATTTCGCGCCGCTCCGGCTGCTTGCAGCCGGGACATGACGCAGGGATCACCAAAGCGGACGACGACGCGCGCACGGCCGGAGCAGCCAAGCAGAACATGTACGCCGCAGCTATGAGAACCACGCCTCTCCGCCAGCCGGCTCGCCCTGCGACAACTAGACAGTCCTGACGCAGGTGCAGAAGTCCACGCCGGTCCGCGTATCGCGCGGCGAAAATTCTCCGTCCGTGATAATCTCGCCGGCAAAAAGTCTCCGTCGTGAGCGTCACGGTGTCAAGGGACTCGTCAAAAACGGCGGTGCGGCGGTCTACCCCTCGGGCGCCTCGTGCAGCCGAAAGCGGCTTAGTTACCACTGTTTGAATGTTTTGCAGGCGCTCCGACATGTCCTTGCCACGAGCTGATTTGCGACTACGAACGATCGAGCTGACGTACGGTAGCCGGGATGGGGAGCCGCTGTTAATTTCAGCTGTCTTGCTTTGTCGATTCAGATTTTCATCATTTGCATTCATCTACAGCGGGGACACACAGTCACTGCGTGTGTTTTTCACAGCTAGAGTGGTACTCGCGATGTGTCTGCTGATGCTTGCTGCTGTCGACCGAGGCCTCTATCGACCGGTAGATTTTCCGACGGCCGGTCTGATGATTCTGGGGGTTTTAAAAAAAATGGCTCGATAGTGCCGAGCTAATACTTCCGTGAGACTGTCTCGGTTGCATTTACCTGCTCCGCCTCACATGGAAGAGACTCCTTAGAGGATTTGGCGAGGGACCCTAGTACGACTCACTTGAAATGCGCTACACACGCAGTCTCCCGGGCTCTGTGCCCCGCGATTGATCCGTCAGACTAACCGCACCATACCTTCTGCAGATAGTCCCCTGTTGGGTGGGGGATGAGAGCCGAAGAAGGAAGTAGTAGCCAGAACTCTTGCGGATTCGCCGATACAGGTAGGTGGGCAATCTAGGGGGGTGGGCAGAGTCCCGTATGACTGAATCGGCGACCACGAAGCGGGGTGCTACACGCGCGGTTAGAGCTCCTGCATGCTGTGTGTTGGTTCTGATCCGCAACACGGGTAGAGCCCTTCGGAATGCCTGTGTGATGACAGAAGACGTACGACGCTGTGATGCCCTTGTGGCTTGATCGCTACACGGGAGTCGTAGAGCCCTGCATGCTAGCTTGTGTGTCGTGTCGTGAGATGATGTGTGCGTTCGGCATGGACTTACACGGCAAGACGGATGTAGGCCCTTCTCATTGTGGTGTTCGTGGTTTAGCGAGTTGATGTTCTACACGGGTTAGTGCTGCATATAAGCAATTGCTCGGTGCTGTGTGAGCCGTAGATTCGGATCAGACAAAACGATGATATTATGAGAACCACTGGTATGCTGAGGAGACAGAAGATGAAATGTAGAAGAGTATGACGATCGCAAAACACGGGTTTAGAAGCCAGTAGCATGCTCTGTGTGTGGTGATCGCTACACGGGCTAGAGAGCCCTGCATATGCTCCTGTGATGAGTGTTCGAAGTTGGAACGAACGGCGTAAGAGCCACCTGCTATGCTGGGGTTTGGTTGATCGCTACACGGGGTAGGAGAGCCCTGCCGATGATCTGTTTGGTTTGATGGCCAAAGCGGGTAAGAGCCCTGCATGCTGTGCTGTGGTTGATGGCTACACGCGGTAGAGCCTGCATGCCTGTGTGTGGCTGATGCGACAACACGGGTAGAGCCCTGCATGCTGATGGTGTGGCGGGGTTGATAGGCTACCCACGGGATAGAGCCCTGCATGCTGTGCTGTGGTTGATCGACTAACGACGGTTTTAGAGCCCTGCATGCCTCGTGTCTTTGTTGGCGCTTTGGATATGGAAGAGCTAACAGACACGGCGGTTTAGAGCCACTGCATGCTGTGGTCCCTCTCGAGTGGAGTGAATGTGTGAAGTTGATGCAACACCGGGTAGAAGAGACCCTGCATGCTACTTTGTCGTGGTGTTGGATGAGCTATCAGGAGTAGAGCCTGCATGCTGTGTGTGCGTTGATCGCTATCACGCGGCGTGAGCCTGCATGCTGTGTGTGGTGTATCGAACTACACGGGCTAGAGCCCTTGGCATGCTGTGTGTGCTTTGATCGCTACACGGCGGTAGAACCCTTGCATCGCTGGTGTGTGGTTGCATCGCACTACACGGGTACGAGCCGCTGACATGCGGCTGTGTGGTGTGCTCGCCCTCACAGGGTAGAGCCCTGCATGCTTGTGGTAGCCTGTGCGTTTTGGTCGCATACACGGTATTAGGAGCCTTGCATGCTGTGTGATGGATTGATCGCTACACGGAGTAGAGCCTGCATGCTCTGCTGCTGCTGTTGATCGCAACACGTCGCGTAAGAGCCTACGATGCTGTGCTGTGGGTTGATTCAGGATAACACGGGCTAGAGCCCCTGCATGCTGTTGTGTGGGATGATCGCTTACCGGTAGAGCCTCTGCATGCGTTTGTGGCTTGAAATCGCAAACACGGGCTAGAGCCTCTGCATGCTGTGGTGTGTGGCGTTGATGCGTTAACAACGGGTAGAGCCCCTGCATGTGTGTGTGGTTGATGCGCATTAAACACGCGAGTTATGAGGTGCCATCTGCTGCTGTGTGTGACGTTGCATGCATACACGGGTAGAGCCCTGCATGCTGTGTTGTGGTTGGATGGTAACGACGCGGTTAGAGCCCTGCTATGCTGTGTAGTGGTTTGTATGGGTGTAACCGGGTAGAGCCCTGCTGCTGGTTGTGTTTCCGTTGATTTGCTACACGGGTAGAGCCTTGACGCTGCAATAGATGCCTCTGTGCATGCTGCTGTGTGGCACTGTTGATGGCTACGAACGGTAGAGGCCAACTGCATGCCTGGTGTGGTGACACTCTCTACGCGGGTTAGAGCCCTGCCTGCTGTTGTGTGGTTGATCGCCTTACACGGGTAGAGCCCTGCATTGCGCGACGATAGTGAATTGACGCAGCACACTGTGCCATGATGGTTGATGCGGTAACACGGGTAGAGCCCTGCATGCTGTGTGTGGTTGATCGCTACACGGGTAGAGCCCTGCATGCTGTGTGTGGTTGATCGCTACACGGGTAGAGCCCTGCATGCTGTGTGTGGTTGATGGCAACACGGTAGAGCCCTGCATGCTGTGTGTGCGTGCTTGATCGCTACTACTGCGGTTTAGAGCCCTGCATGCTGTGGTGTGGTGAAGTGTGTCCGATTGAGATCGCATACACGTGCGGTGTAGAATCCCTGCATGCCTGGCGTGTGTGTGGAGTTAATTCGCTACACCGTGGTGTAGAGCCCTGCATTTGTCGTGTGTGTTGTCGACTGTGTTGGATGGTAACACGGGTATTGAGCCGCTGCCATGTCTTGTAAAAGTTGTTATGTTGGTTGAATCGTCGTACAGCGCGGTAGAGCCCTGCATGCTTCTGTGTGGTTTGAGTCGCCTACACGGGTAGAGCCCTGCATGCTGTGTGTGAATTGATCGCAACACTGTAGGAGCCCTGCATGCGTTGTGTGTGGTTAGATCGGTTACACGGGTAGTAGCCTGCATGCGTGTGTAGTGGTTGTCTGCTACCGCACGACGGTAGATCGCCTTGCATGTCTTGGGTGTGTGCGGTTTGATCGGATACACTGGGTTGAGAGCGCTGCATGCTGGTTGTGCTGGTTGTCGGCCCATCACACGGGTAGAGCCCTGCATGGATGTGTGTGGTTGCATAGGTATAACAGGGGTAGCAGCCCTGCATGCTGTGGTGTCGTGGGCTTTGATCGCTAAACGGGTAGAGCCCTGGCATGCTGTGTGTGGCGTTGATGGAGTAACACGTGGTAGGCCCTGCATGCTTGTGTTTGGGTGGTGATCGTAACCCACGGGTTAGAGCCTGCATTTGCTGTTGTGTGGGTTGATCGCAACACCGGGTGAGAGCCCTGCCATGCCGGGGGATGCACCGAGACCGCGACGAGCAAGACGAGGGGATAAGAGAGCCTGTAGGAGATGTGAGAGAGAGAGAGAGACGAGAGAGACGAAGAGACGGAGAGAAACAGAGGGAGAGTGGAGTAGACGAGGAAGATGAGCGGAAGAAAGATGATGGAGAGCGAGCTCCGGCGCTGGGACAGATGAGTGAGGATTCCAGAGAGCAGGCATGCTGTGTGTGGTTGATCGCTACACGGGTAGAGCCCTGCATGCTGTGTGTGGTTGATCGCAACACGAGGCAAACGCCGGAGTCGGATCACGCGCGTTTTTCGAGTCCGACACACCGTACGTAGCGCGTGACGTACGTCCTGACGCTGTCTACAGACACATCTTTGGCTGCACGTAGATATCCTCGATATGGAAGTGTTGCGTTGACATCGCAGCGTGAGTCGTATATATAGCGTAGATATGTGTTTCGCGACGCGAAGTTGCATTGAGATCGTAGCGAAGTTGTAACGTCGATGTTTGGTTTTACTGCAGACGGTGTCGATCCTGGAACAGCGACTCACGATGACAGAGAACAAGCTGAAGGAGGTGGTGGAGAAGGATGAGGTTCCCTCGTATGCTCACCAACGCTAACTCCTCCTCTCTCCATGATGCATCAGCTATACCCCTCACTTCTCTCACCCTCCTCTCTCCACTGCGTGTCTCCTATATATACCCCTCACTTCTCTCACCCTCCTCTCTCCACTGCGTGTCTCCTATATATACCCCTCACTTCTCTCACCCTCCTCTCTCCACTGCGTGTCTCCTATATATACCCCTCACTTCTCTCACCCTCCTCTCTCCACTGTGTGTCTCCTATATATACCCCTCACTTCTCTCACCCTCCTCTCTCCAC